GCGATTATATTTTGAAATAAGTTCTATATAAATTTTATGTATAACACTTTAATTAAATACTAAATATTAAATTACATAACGTGACTTAGAAAGCTAGCAAATTTTATTACCAGCTATATAAAAAAAAATTCGTTTTTTCTAATATTTCTTATTATAACGCTGAATCTTATTCCGATAGAAATTTTATTAATATGTCGCCTTGAATTTTGAAGAAATTTTGAAGTTCAACAAAATTCAACTTCCGCATTGCAAACGATCTAGTTTGATTTTATCGTTAGTATGCAAGTAAACAGCGAGTACTTCAAATATCTTCAGCAAACAAAGTCACAATAAAAGTTTTGCCAGTTATCATAAGATTAATTTTAAATATTTTATTTAAATAATAACCACGTGTATGATAAGTGAACATAAGCGACCTTAAAAACTGAAAACTTCGTTAAATACAATGGTACAATTTACCAATTCATCAATTACTAATTGTTATTAAAAATTTAAATAATATTTAGTGATACTATATTTATAAATTCGTAAATTGTAAAAGTATTCGGTGTAGATGAACTATTTTTCTAAAGATGATTTATGTATATTCAGATCATAAAAATGAAACAAACGATTGAGCAGTATTTTTACGTATAAAATACGTGTATTCTTAATTTTTCCTTAACGTATATAAAGGTATATTATATATTAACTGCATACTCTACTTTATAATAAATTTAAATTAAAGGTTTAACGAAATTAAAATGTTAGAGCAAATAAATCCAAATTAAAAATTGCTATTGTATACCTGAATAAAACAGTTCGAACTTGTATAAGTTTTGTATACATATCTATCGTAAAGTAAAATCCGCGTTACCTTATTATTTGTTTTGAAACTATTTTTCGCCTTTGCTGTATAATTGTTATTCAATCTATAATGTGCAATCTGCATCCGATTTCAAATAAATTATATAGTGTAATATCTTGAAGATATATACAGCCAAGCAAAAGAGACCGTGAGCACAATAATATGCGCTTAGGCACCTGAGTCAATAAACATTATTAGACACACGACTCAGAACCTGTACCGGTTGATGAATTTTCTTACCACGGATTCATAAACTGCTGCCAGCGTAGAAATAATGGTAGTTAGTTAGTTAATTATTATATATTTTAATAAGAATCAATATTTCAAATAAACTTTGCAATTCAGACAACATCCTCGAGACATCTTATAATTAGTCGCTAAACCTCTTCAGATGCCTCATTTGACTCAACTAAAGCAAAAGTACTATTAATTATATGGTATATTTGAATATATACAACTCATTTTTCAGCAATATATTATTGATGAAGCAAAGAAAATCTTACGGTTCTCGATCAAACAATGATCATGGCAATACGTCATGTACTTAAGTTTAATACAAATGTAATAAAGAAGGACGGAAAAATAAATTCAAACTTTGCATTTCATAATTCAAGATCTAAATTTGTCATCAGACTCGAATATAAATTGAATGAATATTATTTACTCCTACACATCAATGTTGTCGAGATGACTCATTCAGCAAAAAAATATTATTAGATATTTGATACCATTATTATTTCGTTTTTAGATCAAGTTTGGCAGTAATCCAGGACGCTATTTTTATTTCATGATAGCTAGTATACCAACAAAAATATATTTTTGTAATAAATATTTACAACAATTTTTTCTAGACTTGATGGCAGTTCTAAATATGTATACTAATTAATTACTGCTACATTAACCAAGTCAAATTTTTAATAAAAAATTGTGGTATTGTTTTGAACTTTAGTGAAAACTGTAGCAAATAATTGATTCTCAATGTAGTAAAATGACAAATTTCGCCTCAAAAACCACAAAATTGTTTTAGAAGAAGATAAATAGAAATTTGAGTTTTTATCGAATGTTTATTATTTTAGTGAAATGTAGAAATATTTATTTTGGCAAATTTTATTCTCAGTGTAGTGAACATAAAAAGTAACAATTTGTCCAACTGCAATTCTCATAAAAAACTTGTAACTCATATTTGCTAACTTTTATACCGAATTATTTTACCAGTAGCTGAACTGAACAACATACCTCAAATGAAACTCAAACAAATCTAAATATGTAAGAAGTTGAAATAGATATTGTTTACAATTTTTTTTTTATTTTTATTTAATTTTATTTGAACAGCGATCAGAACTTATGGGTTCTATGAGCTGTTGTGATTAATATCTTACAAACTACGTTTGTTTTTAGTACAGATGGCAACCCAAACAGTTGTCACATCTCTGGATGATAAATTTTTATTACAATCTCTGTAATAGGGTAAGTATGGTGCAAAAATGCAGGGTGAGGGCTATTTCCACTTGGAAACATATTGCTATCTATATTTCCAAGTAAAAATCGTTGTCAATGTTGCCTGACAACAGGCTGCTCGAAGTGGTTATCGAACCCGGGACCTCTGAAACAAGTCCCGTCGCTCTTAACCGCTTACCTACGGGCGAGCCCTATTTATAATTTTATAATAAACTTTATAATTGTTCTTTATATAGCAGATGAAAAATTAAAACCAATTTTAGTATAAATTGTTAGGTACAAAACCTGGAAAATTTTCAATGCAATGACCTTATCAGTAAACTATGTCTTATCTAAAAGACGAGTCGTGCAAGACGTTGTGACGCCTAACTGTATAACCAAAAGCAAATATTATCGTTATTTGCTAATCTAGGCCACTTGAAAGCATGCGAAATTTTTACTTTGTCCATAAGTCATGCCATTTGATCACTTGTGGTTAGACTTATCGATATGACTAACAGTCTTAGGCTGATGCCACATATAATGGAGAATGTAAATATGTATAGTCTAAATTAACAGATACTGTCTTAACTATGAGGTAGTTCAATCTTTTATATTTATCACAAAAACATGATTTGTGTAGCTTCAGGAAAATTTGTTAAAGATGAATTTCATTACTTCATTATATCAACTTCTGTCTAAAAGTATATCAAAATTTCAATTCTTGAATAAAAAGGATCTTCTTAAAAATGATATTCCAAGGATAGAAAATAAATTTGATAACACACGGGATAAATCATGATGTGTTCGTTAAATTTCAGATTTTTTTTGATAATTGTTTCTGACTTCCAAATTTAATAAGATAAAGATAAATCAAAACGCATGAAGATAACAAAATTCTATAAGGGTACGTTTGCAAGAACAATTCCAGCTTTTAAATATGAAAGACAATAACCATAACTCATGTCTCCTCCAAGCATTAAGTGTGGTATAACCCTTACCCATCACTATGATTTGAGTTTGAACTGCGCTGATAACAAATCGATAATAATGTTATCAGTTATCAGTCACGTTTGACAATCCTTGGTCGGGGCAAGACAGATAACACTGCGCGGTGAAGAGCAAACAACACAAAAGTCGTCACAGACGCTGTGGCACCAACAACGAATGACTTCTTGGAAGGATATAAAAACATGAAACCCATAAAAGACGGATATAACCGTGAACACCACTTATATATTATGCCTGGGCCTGCTGGATGTTGAATCGCTCGCTTCGAATGAATTTCAAACGAACAAATATGTATGACGAGTCGTTTTTCATTTCATTCAAATAATGATTGTAGTAAAAAACTTCATTATATCAGTTCGTTCAATCCGCTGACAAATTAAAATAAAAGAAACGAAACAGTTGATACGAAATTGATTGAGTACGGAATTATTTTCCAATATTAACAATTTTTCATGCATGCAGTGATAAAAATAGCGATAGAGCTATTTTTAAAGTCAGCCCTATTAGATTAATTCTAATAACAAATATCATCAAATATGGATGGGTTAACCATTGGATTACCATCTAAAAAATACGAAGTGAGGAGAAGTTTCAGCCCAACAGCTCATAGGACGTAAGGTTCTGATTGCTGTTAAAAATATTTTTTTTAAAAAAAAAAGAGATATTTTTGAAAAACAAATGTTATAAAAAAATACCTAACTATCTATTAAGAAAAAGATTTTGTAATTTTTATAAACATAGTAGGCACGTCGCATATTCGTGAGCTTTCTTAAATATTTCATTTAGTTATCATTTAAATGTTCAATAAAAACCTGAAGGACGTTCGAGAAAATTACAAACAATTTATAGGGCATTCTTGAACGTTCAAACGCCTACTGGTAGTCGAAGAATTCTTAAAAATAAATGACAATAAATGCCTTCGTGGAAATTCTTAAAAATAAATGCCAAATTGGATTTTGACGACCCCAAAAACACCGGCATACGCATTTAGCAAATGAAAAAATAATATTTTTTTAATTTTTACAATACAGTAGTCATATATAGAAGTAGTCATGTAGGTAATTCAGTAAATTGAAACTTTCACATGTTAGAAATTCATCTTCGAGTTATGGTTTCTTCATCAAAGATTCTCGGAATGATAGTACTTAGGTTTAGGATTTAGTCCTCAATCTTATGTTTATCAATAAAACACTAAAAGATTGATATCTCCTTAAGCTTTTTGATGCCGTTAAACATTTATAATTTTATACTCATAAAATAGTACGAACATTCAAAATATTTACTATTGAGTTCTATAAAAGAGACACGTTAACAGTAGTAACAAGATTTTCTACAAAACCTTAAGATGACCAATGATGACGATAAATTTAAAAGAAATATAAAGAAATATTATCAGGAAATTGAAGACAAAGAAGACTGAAGAGTTATATAAAGATATTATAATTATAATAGATATTATATTAATGAAATAGCCAAATGAAATGTATATATAAATTATGTAAACTGTTTTCATAATCTCTCATACCAGGCACTTCTGTCTGTCTGAGATATGAAAATAATGTATATATATATAAATAAAAAAAAACCTAGAAGAAGATCGATATGCAGATGAACCAACACATTTGCAAGATGATAGCAGTATTCCAATTTACTAAAACACACAATTACGAAAATAAATGTTAAAAATAAAAATTAAATTACTTACATCTTTGCTAGGAACACATATTGGAGTGCCTTCTTTCACAATTCCAGCTTCTACCATGACGCCCATAACAATTGGATCTCTAGAATTGAACACGTATTGCGGGAGCACCTGTATAAAAAAATAGGAAACACTCTGAATATGAATATATTTTCACAAGAAATAATGGATAGTAAAATAAGGTAGATAATTTGCATGAGATGTGATAATCTTGCTTTTAAATTTGATCTTGCAAAATGGAAAAAACTGAATTCAACTAGAGAACTTAAAAAAATAAATGATTCTAGATAAAAACTAATTAAAACAATTATGACGCTACTCCCATTATTTGAGTACTTGTTAAAAATCATTAGAAAAATGAGGAAGTAATTTAGCATTTACTGGAATTCATTTTGCAGTTTTATCGTGTATGTCAGATATCAGAATCGAACACAATTTATATATTAGGCCTAATATGAATCTAACGATCTGCAATCTCATTTCCTGTCATCTTTCTTCAAGAGCACAAGTAAAAAACTTTGCGTCAACAAATAACCAAAGAAATCGTTGATACAAGAACTAAACTTTGTGAATGTTTATTTTTAATGAAAAAAGTTGGGGAATAATAATAAACATGAACTCACTTTAAGTTTGCATGGAAACACAGCGATATTCTTGAATTCGTCTCGTTTGCGTTGCTTGAGCTCATCACGATAAGCAGTGAACTTGTCGAACAGATGATAAATGATGTCGGCTTGGAAAATCTTTACTCCTAGAGTATCTGCCAGCTCCTGAGCATCGCGTTCAATTTTCACATCGAAGGCTAGAATTGTAGCGTATCTGAAAAATTATAAAATACATTTGATGTTAATTCCTCACACCTGAATTGAAGTAGTATTTATCGAATGGTATACATAGATAATAAATCTAAACAGTTCAAAATTACCAACATTCAGAACAAAAAAAGAGTATAACATTTCAATGAATCTTTTCAATTTGAGTTTTTGTCACAGCCCCAAGGTGATATAATATTGTAATAAACTTTTATAATTTAAAATTTAAATTCATATTTGTGTGTACCCAATATTCTTCTTCGGACCAATCGGAACTGATTCCACATTATATATTAATGCAATTTAATTTTTAATTAACCAAATTATACATTGCAGGCATTATTGCAATATCTCCTTCTAAAAAATAATGTATTTTTCTTTTACTATAATATAATCATATAATAAAAAATATTGCACACTATAACTGACTTGAATATTGAAATTCCTCGGTGCTCATTAAAACTTGTATGAAATTTTATAAAATGCATATAATAAAGAGAACAATTAGAACGTGTATACAACTTCGCCTTAGTTATAACCATTATAAAGTTTATTGTTTTATAAAATAATAATATAATAAAATTTCGAAGATGTATTTTATTATGCGTATGAAGATAATCCAGAAATGTTTTAGAAATACATATGGAAATGAACGGTAATATCAAAAATCAAAATGTAAAGTGAATCAAAAATTTTCATTATTAATTATTATTAACAAAATATGGGGAATTTACAAAATGATTCCGCAAAGCAAAATTTTCTGGGGTGCGTAAATTAGAAATTGCGTGATGGTTAAAAATAAATACATAGGTACATACATAAATACATACCGCAATAAAAGTGGTTTATTTTTGGTACTTTTGAGATATAATAATTAAAGAGATTAGCAATATATATATATATATATATAATATATATATATATATATATATATATATATATAGTAAAAAGAATAATATACTTACTGGCTGTCATGTTCCAACATCGTTGAAGCTTTCATAACATCGCGCTTGACAACTGGGCCAATCCTGATACCAGCGTACTGCAAAGAAGTATAAATATTTTAATTTATGAAACTGGCAACACATAAAACAATATACATAATATTTTTAATTTTACGAAAAAAATAAGTGACAGCATATACAGTGCAGAAGAGTACTCGGAAAGCCAGCCCGCTAGACTATAGTGCAAATTACCCACTAATCTCATTCAGATATTTCTATTACATTTTATATTATTTTTTTCTTTACTATTGAATTATTTGTCTTTTTTGTTTTTGGTTTATATAATACTCCTAGTAGATTCTCGACTGGGATATTAATATCAATATCTATTAATAACCCATCATCATGTTGTAATATATTGTTAACAATGTTTTCATTAACATATTGCAGAATAAATGAACTAAAACAATATTGTGAGAGGCACTAACAAATGGACGTCTGAGATCTTACCACTTATGATGAGATGAGATAGCAAAATGAATTACAACAATAGATTTCGCTATGATATTCTTTTATTCCAGGTATTACAAAATATTACAAGAAAAATATGAATCGGCATTTCAGACCCTATTTTTTTTTTGAATAGTCTATTATGTGCGTTTTTAATTCATTTGAATGAATCGTCCGTTGATGTATATTATGAATGGCGACATTTATGAATCCGTACCGGATGCTGCGTAATTTCCACTGGCGCCGAACTGATACCGAGAATTGCAACCGACCGATCCTTGTTCAATCGACAATGAATTTAAGGACCGATTGTATCAATTCACCAGAAGACTGGTACGGGCATTATAGCAAAAAAGTTGTAAAGTGAATGGTTTATGTCATAATACTATTATATTACTGAATATAAACTTATGGTAAACTATCTATTCATAGAAATAAACTATGAAGAAGAAGCAACGCATCTCATCAACCAATACAATCACTAAAAGGTTGGGTGAAAATATTTAAAAATATTTTATTATCTATTAGTAATCGAGAAATAAAATAATCAATTTCAATAGAAACCGCATCGCGGTTAGTTTTGTCTGTTGATATAGGGGAACCGAAGAAAGAATATGTTGGGCTTCTTATAAATCAATTAATATTATTGCGGTGGAACACAATCAAATTTTTCTCAGAATATTGCATTATTTTTAAAAAAAACCTTCGATGCCAAATAGGTATCAATGATGTTATGTTGACAGCAAATAAAATACATAAATTGTTAAAAAAATGATAAGTAAGTATTATATTAAATTTATACCAAAATTTCAACTACTGTATGGCATGAGTTAAGTTATTTAAAGTATGCCAAAATCAATATTAGTACGCTATTCACAACGTAACTAGGAGACGAGGTTTGACAAAAAATCACAAAATATCACGTGGGGGAGGGATGAGTACAGTAAAATATCAGGTGTATTCGTTTTTCACCTGAATTTTTTTAAAATCAAAACATATTAAAAATATTTAAAAAAATTACAATTATTTCTCGTAACTAGAAATACCCGTGAGGGGAGAGGGGATAATTTTAAATATCATCACGTATCACCAAGGGGGAAAAGTCCAAAAATCCTTAAAAAATCGTTCTCATGATTAATGGACGCCCCCCTAGTATTATCAAGATGAACCAAAAATTGCAGCTAAATGCTGTTCAAAATGAACTGTTGTAATTCAAATTATTTAAAGCACACAATATTTTTGCGTAGTTCATATTTAAGATAGATCTATAAATTCTGTAAAAATTGTAAGTAAATCGGTCCAGTAGTCGGTAGGAAAATCGTGAGTATCGTATTGAAAAAGACAGTTTTGGGAAAAAAGCGTTTAAAATTTAGCAGAGAAAAGAATAGAAGAGGAAGATTATCAAGGTAAAATAGTTATCTCTCCAAAAATAATTTAAATTTTGAAAAAACCTCTTGTAAACATTTTCTTGAATAGTTAAGCTTTGAAAATATAAAAAAACTTAATTTTTTAAAATTTCTAGATTAAAATACCACTTCAATTTCATTCACTTGTAAATGCTTCAGGTCATAAGCCTTACCAGCGATGTTTTCAAAAGTATGCTATTTTTTTCAAAATATTCAAGATATTTCATAATCTTATTTAAATTTGATTTATAGTGCAGTAAACGAAGCGTTTTAGATCTGAATTTTTAAAACCACGACAGTAGATGGCTTTAAATACAACAATTAAATCTTGAACGAAATAAAAAACGACTTTGCTCTTTCAAATCTTGCTTATTTTTCCTAGAACACTTTATGTAATACCGATTTATTAAGATTTTTATTGACATTATATTGTTCATAACATGATTTTCGTTAAAATGTATATTTTAGGAGATATTTGCAAAAAAACGAAGAAAAACGCCAAAAATATATGAATCTTTAGTGGCCAGTAACTTGAAAAGTATTAGTTTTTTTGAAAACTATAAATGACATTTTTTTCTTATAATTAGTTCTTCTATCGATTTCCGACGTCATTTTGAAAAAATGTAATTACACAATCGAGAAGGGGTGTCATCCCCCCGGGAGGTGATGGCGCAACCCGAATTGTTTTCACTTTTGAACTTGAGGGTAAGATGAACCTAATTCCAAAATTTCATTCAATTCGGAGCACAGTAAAAAAATTCAGAGGTTATACCCTTTTTTCCTATCCGTTTACTGCACTATCAATGTCACTTTCAAAGATGAGCGGGAACAAACCTTAGGTTTATTACAGCACCCTTGCAGGGGCGCTCACATATATATTCTACAAAATCATTACGGTAGAACTTCATAATGCAGCTTTTCGAGCATAAAAACCCACAATTCACCGGGACTAAATTCAGCGAATCCCTTTGTCCATCAAATCATGCGGTGTAATCGCCGTCCGCCGTCCGCCCAAATCAGAATTCTGGTCGCGGCGTTCGCGTTCATTAGATAATATCATCGCGTGAATTCATAAACCGCGCGGCCGACAGTACGCGCTCGCACACAAAAGGACTCGGACAAATACAGGCGAAGTATTCCGGTGTTCTAGGAACGGTGGACAATGGCGTCGCATCCGCTAGACGAATCGACGAATGGACGAATGGACGAAGAGCCAGCTTGGCCCTAACCGGATGTCTCCTTTGGCGGCGTACTGCATTCCAACGGAAAACCAGAATACGTTTTATAACCGGCTCGTGTAGTTAACCCTCATGTACGATAATTATCATAAGAGATTCTTTCGCCTTCAATACTTTCATGTTCACTAACGTCGAATATTAACTCGATTAAGGATATTGGTCATAAACTTTTTCTGATCTTAATTATGTAATCAACTAAGTATAAATGGGATAATATTGACAGATGCAAAGCAATAGATTACATTCAAATCTTATGCATAGCTAATGCTAAACTTTAAGAAAAATTGATTATGTCTTACACGTTCTTTGAATATATGGACAGCTACACCTCATCTTATTAAAACATTTGCGGATGTGAAGATATAGCATTCATTTTTAAGATCCCGAAGGAGGAGTTTATGTTTTCATCAAAAAGTCCGAATTGCTAATTTTATGTTTTCTCGACGTTTCAAGCCATTCTGAATCGAATGAGACCAAATTTGGAAAAAGTATGTGTATGTGTATGTGAACAGATTTTTTGCCGTAAATCGACTTTTTCTCGAAAACGGCTAGACCGATTTCAAAAATTTAAAAGCCACTCGATGTATCTCGATGAGGACTATTGTTTATTAGTTTTGTGCGACGATCGGCCGAACCGTTTCTTTATAAATCGCAAAAAAGTGAAAAAAATTTCGTCTACGTTTTAGCCCGCAATTCTGAATCGATTTTGAAAATTCAAAAACCGTTCGAAAGATATTGGCTGGGAATCGTGCTGATTAGTTTTTGGTAGAGATCGGCCGGGCCGTTTCTTGTAATCAAGTTTAAAAAAAAAAATCGGCGATGTTTATGATTATTTTTTTGACGGTAGATACTATAGTCTTCTAGATCATACTAAAATATTACGGCCCTACGACAATTGGTTTAACTTTGAAAATTCGTCAAAGTTTGCAAAAATTGGTATCGTTTTTTGGCATTTGTCAAAATTAGACCTTTCATCGACGTTTGCTCAAAAACCGATTTCAGAAATTTAAAAGCCATTTGATGTATTTCGATGAGGACTATCGGTTGTCAGTTTTGTGCGATGATCTGCCAAGCCGTTTCTTTGTAATTTGAAAAAAAGTGTTAAACTTTTCGTCCACATTTAAGCTCATCCTACTGAACCTATTTTAAAAAACCAAAACTGTTCGAAAGATATTAGTTGGGAATGGTACTGATCAGTTTTAGGTGAAAATTTACCGAGCCGTTTTCTTGTAATTAACTGTTGAAAAAAAAATTAAGCCGATTTTTATAGAATTTTTTCAGCGATATATATCATGGTCTTATAAAACTTATTGTAATATTACGGCCTTACAACAAGTATTTAATTTTAAAAATTCATCAAAGTATGAGAAAATGAGTAGTTTTTTGACGTTAACTAAAATTAAAATTAGACGATTTACTTGGTATAACAATATAGTACTTGGTCTTAATAAACATACTAAACCATTAAAATCCTACGGAAACTGGTTCAACTATAATAATTGTTGATTTTTCAAAAGTTGCTTTTTGAAAATACTCCGAGTTAACGTGTTCGTTCGTTTTCAATTATGTGTAATAAATCCACTCTGAAATTAATTTATTTTTTATTGATTAAGCCGATTATTTACACATATCGGGAAGTTCATGTAACTTGCCTCAAGGCTAAATACCAATACCAACTAGTCTCTGACATGAATGCTATAGCATTCAAATTTTAGAATAAATTATTTTGAATTTATTTTTATAGAATCTTTTGTTTTGTACCTATTATGCCTGTGAGGGTATTGACTAACTGATTTTTTAAGAATTTTCATATTATCTTACTTTGTTTAGTAGTCACTAATTAGCTTGGTCATTGGTTAATACTTAACGTGGATGCTATAACATTGATAGTATATAACAATTACAATATGATAATCTGACTGTCTGACAAATTTTGTACATCTC